GAGGGAGGGAAGGAAGGAAGGAAGGAAGGAAGGAAGGAAGGAAGGAAGGAAGGAAGGAAGGAAGGAAGGAAGGAAGGAAGGAAGGACAAGCAGCAGCGGCCACAGTGGCAAGGATGTCATACAAAATTAAGGTTCATTTGCCTGATAACCCTGAGAGTAGGAACCCACAGTTCTGCTCACAGTAGAAACTAAATGCATATGCTATCAATTAATGCTTAGCGCTAAGGAATTAACATGATGACATGCTGAAAGCAGAAAAGGTACCTCTTTTCTGCTAATGCAAAAGGCTGCCCTCCTCCAAAATTTGATCAAGTGACTTTTTAGACACAGAACAACTGTTGATGTGGGAGGGGGATACAGCAACACAATAGCCAACTCGTACTCACTCTCAACTCACTTCTGAATGCAGGTTTCAGAAGGGAACACCTGCTCTTAATGAAAAGGAACCAAATTAGTATCCAGGACAAAAGGTGAAGGAAGGAGGAACAATAAGAGGTTTGCCATCTAGTGCATACTTACATTGTTGATCAGGTAGACGCCCCGCCCCCTAGAAGAGGCCACTGGTTTTACTATCCAAGGTCCCCGGTCCTTTGAATATGAATCTGATCAAAATATTGGGAGATAAAGAGGAGAGAGAAACAATGAGAAAGAAGGAACATGAGTTCATTATCTTAAATTTCAACAATGGTTATCTAGTCAGATACCCAAAGAATCTTCCAAATTTCTAAGTAGAGAGCAGCAGCCAAAATTACCAGTATTTCTGGACTAGCCTTAAAATGAAAACAGACAGAGAAAGAAGGAGGAGAAGGAGGAAGGAAGAGGAGGAAGAGGAGGGAGAGGAAGAAGAGGAGGAAGAGGAGGAGGAGGAGGAGACAGCAAAATTACTCACATAATTATTTCTTCCACCATTTTCCCTCTTTCTTGAATGAGAAGACAAAAACAAAATAAGGCAAGTGTCTGGATGTTAGCCTACTACTGTCACAAACAACCTTTATGAATCTTTGAAATTCTCACCTCTGTTAACTAAAGGACCTCCAGGGACAACATTAAGTCAAAAGCTAGATCTAATACAGTTACTTTCCTTAAATAATTCCTCAGGTATTATAAGAAAAAACCACCTTAAATCAAGCAATGTGCAAATGGAGAGGAAGGACAATAATTTGCAAGTGATTAAAAGGTGCCATTTGGGGCCAGCCTGGTGGCTCACTCAGGAGGGTGCGGTGCTGGCAGCACTGAGGCCACGGGTTCAGATCCTATATAGGCATGGCCAGTGGGCTCACTGGCTGAGCGTGGTGCAGACAACACTGTGCCGAGGGTTGCGATCTCCTTACCAGTCAAAAAAAAGAAAAAAAAAAGTGCCATTTGCTTCTGTTTCTTTTCCAAGTTCAATTTAACTCTTTAAATACCTGTGGATCATGAGAAAAGAAAGCAGACAACTGATACTAAGATTCCCAAAGGCTTGCAAGTGGTCCGGGGAGAAGCGGACGGCTCTGTCTTCCATTTAGGGAATGTCAGAGGACAAGGCAGAGGGCAGGGACAGAGGATACTGGTGCTGCTGTGTTCTCACATCCCAGACTGCAGAGAGAGGTTGACTAATCCTCACTCTCAACTCTGTCCTTTCTAGTTTTGATGAAATGCCTCAGGTGGCAGCAGTGGATACTGTTTCAAAGCAGGGGGTTGGGGAACAGGGGGAAATAAAAGATGAAAATTAAGAGATTTATGTTTTTCTTTATATTTTTCATGTCTGAAAGAAGAGAGACAAGGAAGGAATAGATGAGCGTGGGGAAATAAATCAGGCAAATGCAAATGTTTCTGAGCAGATCTCCCAAAGACTTTTTTTGCAAAGTGCCTAGGTTGCTATGCATCAGGATATTAGCAGCATTTTATCTAGAACACAACAGCATAAATCTAATAAACATCCATCTAGTTCATGTTTCTCTGGTTTAGTTATTAAGAGGCAAGTACTTCCACCTGTGTGCTAGTCTGCCTACTCTCTTCCCCCAGATAAGTACACAAATGTCCCTCCAGCCTAAATTTGTGCCTACACCAGGCATGCCTTCAGGAGGAACAATCTTGGCTCAGCTCCTCTCCCCAGATGACTTGCCAGCAACTACTGCCTTCTTCTCTCTCTTCTTCCTCTGATAGGAGCCAATCTCTTCAAGGTCTCCCAACAGGCGCTTGACTATCAGTGCCACAAATCATTTCACCAGGAGAAAACAAAGATCTCAATGTCTACTCTCTCCCATCTTCCCCTGTCTTTTCCTTTGATGCAACTTATCAAAAGAATAAAATTAATTCTGCTTTTTTCCCAATCATTTGAAAATGGTTCTTAGCTCATAGGACATACAAAAACAGGCAGAGGACTGATTTGACTCAAGGACTGTAGTTTTGCAGATGTCTGATCAAAGAATATTAAGGCCAACATACAAAATGATAACATTATTAATTAACTGATATAGAATTATCTTGAAGATAGCCTGTTACGTGAAAAAAAGGAAAGCGCAAGGCAGTATGCTCCCATCTGTTCATATAAACAAACAAGTTATTTGCTAGTAAATGCAAATCATATCTCTAGAAGGATATGTAAAAAACTAGTAACATTGATCACTCCTAAGGGGAACTTAGGACCGAGGAACAAGAGGCAAAAGGAGGCTTTTCACTGATTATTTTTTTGTAATTTTTTGTACCACGGGGATATATTACCTTTTGAAAAATACAATTTAAATAATTTTAAAGTCCTGCTATAGAAGACATATTTATAGTTACATATGACAAAAAATTAGATTTCCATAAAGTGAGGTCACTGAACACATATGCATATACAGTTTATATTTTTTTCATTTTGTCATTTTCGTCAGATTGCGAGGAGACAATGGACCAACTGAGCATAGAAGCTATTAATATTATAACAAAACAAAAATTACAAAATTTTCTAAATTTCATTCATTCATTCAATACCTCAGTATCTAATCTGTGTCAATCAGTTTTCTAGAAATGGAGTATACAGAAAAGACAGTCTTTGCCCTCAAGATCAGGGTAGAAGAAAAGAGACACTGAACAAGCAATTACAGACTCTCAGAGTTATAAAGAAAAAGTGCAGGGTGCTATAGGAATGTCTAAGAAAACTACCAAAGCTGTCTGGAGACAGTACCCTCTGCAGTGACAAGCAGATGTACAAAACTCTCAATTTCCGAAAAGGGAAAATATAGCTACCTGCAGTTTTTGCCACCTAACATGTTATTTAATGAATTCTACTTTGTGAACTTGCCTTATCAGAAGTTAATTCTTCTAGGGCTGGCCTGTGGCTCACTTGGGAGATTGTAGTGCTGACAACACCAAGGCCACGGGTTCAGATCCCTATATAGGGATGGCCGGTTAGCTCACTTGGGAGAGTGTGGTGCTGACAACACCAAATCAAGGGTAAGATTCCCTTACTGGTCATCTTTTTTTTAAAAAAAAAAAAAAGAAAAGAAAAAAGAAGTTAATGCTTCTTCTGGTGCTTCACTACTACCATGTTCTTGAAATTCTAAATAGCAAAAATTTGTCCTAGCAGGCTTTTCTCCTTGATTTGTGATGTTTCAAAACAAGGATCAATTTCTTTCACAGGTTCTAAAAATGTGGGCAGGAAGCAAGAAAGATCAGAGAAAAAGACAGAGCAGAAGTCTCAGCAAAGACAAAGATAAGGCAGAGGTCTCAGCAGCCTGTCTAGATGACGATGTTCTAGACAGGTTCTGCAATACTTTCAAGAGGCTTCTGGCTCCTACAGTGGCAACACACTCAGTCTAATGTAAAGAGTACTGAACCAGGAACAGAAAGATCTGAGTTCTAATTCTGGCTTTTTAAACATATGACACCATAGGTAATTCACTTAAACTATCTAGTCTTACCTTTAACTGATTAGTCTGATTTGCTAAGTTCTCTTATAACTCTAAAATTATGATGCTATAAATTTACTGATTGCTTTAAAATCCACTTGTCTGCAATTAATTGGCTAACATCAAAATTCTGCTCCTATCTTAGAATCATCTCTCAGCCTCTCTTACAACTACAGATTGTCATAGAACACAATTCTGGTGAAAGTTTTGCTTTTGTGATACCACAGCCACCCCATCTTCTTTGTTGCTTCCTCCTTCTTCCACTTGGGGGAAGTAGCTAGAGTTGGCAATAGATACTTAGGTTCTTCAGGGTCACAAGCCTTCAATTCTCCTAAATACTATAACTGGCAATGGTGGGACGAGGAGCCTAGAAAGGCCTGTGCCAAGTATTCAAACTCCCACACTCTAATTAGTGGAAACAGTTCAAGGAGTATCCAGGCTTTCACATCGCTGGGGACAGTAGTTGGTGTCTGCGCTAGATCTCTACAGAGATGGATTTAAGGTTTTCTCTTATTAGAACAAAAAGTTATAAATTCATGAGATTACTTTAGCTGGCATCTCTAGTGTCTTTTGGTGATCCTCCTGTCCAATCCTTATCAGTTCTCTTCCAAAGTCCCTTCAGAAGCTATTCCAATTCTTTTCTGCCCCTTTCAGACACAAAAACACATCCCTAGGCCCCTGACTCTTCACATAAGACCTCACTCATCACCATCCTCATCAAGAAGTCTGGAAATTAGTAACCTAAACCCACTCGCCAGCTTTCCTCTCCAACACAAATCTTATCTGGGTCACAAGGCCTTCTTCCTTCACTCCTATTAGGGAGACATGCCCACTTCTCTTTCTAAAGCTCACCCTTCTACTTGGGCTCTTGATTGAACCCTCTCCCTCTGTGACCCCATTCCCTTACTCCCCTTTGATCTCTCTCTCCTCTCTGAACCTCTGTGGTGCTTCTCTCTTTCTCTCCCTCAGTGATTACATCCATCTCCATACCTGCAACCTCCAGAATCTGTATCTCTGGCCACAACTCAAAGTTGCTTTTACAACTGCCAACAAAATATCATTACATGGATGCCCTGTAGACACCTCAAATCCATACCTTGTCCAAAATTTAACTTTCCTCTTCCCCTTTAATAGTTCCTCTTTTACATTCCTGGTTGCATTCCTTGGTTAAAGACTTAATAATGGTCCTCCTAGCTTCTCAGACTCAAACCTTTAGAGGCTTCTTTGCCCCTGCCACACTCCCCACATCTAGTTAGTAAACTGCTTAGTTTCCCACTCTTTCCACTCACTCCTGTACATTTGAAAGAGAGCTCCCTACAGCCTCATAACGTATGCTATCTGCTTCTGTAAAATTGCTTGCTTAACCTAAGTAACTCCATTTTGCCCCCTGCCTGACCTGCAGACTACCCCCCTTCTGCATGAAAATCTGTTGACCTTTTCATAGAAACAGGGGCCATACACAGTGATTACATGGGAACAGAAACCATACACAATGAAAACTTGTATGCTTGACTGCTCGAACAGCCTCTGTGACCTAGCCCCCTAGCTTGCTTTGTGCACCTGGAGAAACCCGTGTGCCAACGGGATGTAGTTTGTGCCTCTTTAAAAACCCCAAAGACCAAGGCCTAATGGCCGCTCTTCCTTGGTTGCCCCTTGGGAGACGGTCGCTGGCCAAATGGAGTGAATAAACTGCCCTTTTCTGCATGAGTGGCATGTAAGTGCTTTTCTTGTGGGAGGGTGCCTCAGAACACATTTCCACTACCTAGTTCAAACCATCAACACTTATCTGCATCACTGCAATAACCTTTAAAGTGGCCACCATTTTTTTTCTCTCTGCTCCTTCCAATTCTTTTCACAGATTTTTTTCTAAAGGCCAGTCTGTTTACATCCCTTTTCTTCTCAAAAATCTCGTATTGCTTATATTCAAGCACTAGAGGGTCAAGAACATGAGAGTCACGGGAAAAAAATGAAATCTCCAAGTTGAATATGCTAGATGGAACCGAAGGAAAAGAGGGAAAAATCAGACTTTACAAAGAGGAATGTCTCTTTTAAAGGGGAGGTGGTAGGAATAGGTGGATTTCTCCCCTAATATGTAAACTCAGCAACACGATTAAGCTGATGATGTTGGATTTCTCCCAGATGGATTTAAGCAGAGAGGTCGTGGACCCAAAACAACTCCCATACAACGACTGGCATCCTACCAAGACCAAAACCAAGAAGATTCCACTTTACTATCATATCTTCCCTCCCTGTCCCCGCTCTTCAACAGACACAGAGTAATTTGTATTGGGGATCAGGAAACTTCACTTGCCTACAATAACTGCCACGGGCTAAATGTGGTGGCTTTAGGTTGTGGCTGTAAAAATGCTGTGTGTTCTACTGACCTTTTGAACTCATTTTTGTTAAAAAGTGGAACACAAGAGTTTGGATAATATGCTGAAGAAGCAATTCCACTGAAACACAGGTCAGGCTTGGGTTGATGGAAGAACTCTAACTCTACCCCATCATCAGAATAAGGGACACCACCCCACCCCCCATCCCATCTCCAAAGAGGGGCAGTGGGGAGAACAGCAGAATAAGAAATAGCAGAGGGAGGGGAAAGAGGATCTTCAACTTAGATTCCTTTAGACTTTAATAGGGAATTATTCTGGACTTTAAATCATCTTTAAGAATTCAGCAATTGGAGAGGTTCATATCTGGAACCCTTTTATGTTGCTGACATGTTAGCTGAAGCATTTTTATGCTCTCATATTGGCTTATTACTTTTTTTTTTTACTTTTATTATATAACAATACAGTTAAACATAATTTGAAATAGAAGATAATATTAAACATTTATTAAGCACCTATCAGGCACCATTCCAAGTACTTTCTATGTATTAAGGTATTTAAACATCCTGACAACACTATAAGGTCAGCACTAATAACAGTCCCATCTTACAGATGAGGAAGCTAAGGCACAGAGAGATTAGAGTAACTTGGCTAAAGTTACATAACGAAAAAATTCTTAATCACAACTTTTTAGTTTTCAGCACACTGTAGCTTTGAAACTAATTTAATTAACGCTCTATATGACCCATGTCAGAGCCTTCTGTGGACAATGAACTGCCAATCAGTAGTCCCAGCTGGAGCAACAAATGCTACCAAAGAATGATAAAGTAGGAGTTCCTGATGAACAGCTGGTCTCTTCTCCCAAAGGATGAACACCCCAATGAGTTGACCCAGGCAGACTGGCAAGCCCAAAAGGTTAAAAACCAAAAGTATGGAAGTCTACAGAGAATTCTCTTTTTCCTCTCTCCACGCTACTTCCTCTACCCATAACATACAAATAGTCTCTCTCTTGGATTTAAAACTGTCTGTCTGTCCTCTCTGTCTCACCTGACCTTCCTTCACCTCACAAAACTATCTGTCCTCTCTGTGTGTCTCACCTGACCTTCATTATAGGGGAGGAGACTTGTCTCACTGGTGATATTGGGAAATGGTCACTGCATGCACCCTGCCCAGTGCCTTTGCAATAAATCACAGCGGTGCAGAGCATGGCCTCTGAAGCCAAATTGCCAGTTTGAACCCTAATTCCACCATTTGCAAACTACATAACTTATGGAAAGTCTCTTAACCAATCCATACCTTGGTGTCCTCATCTGTAAAACTGCCTCAGAGTAGAGGTGCCACTTAAAAGAGTGTCTAATGGAAAGTAACTGATCATTAAGAGTTAGCTATCTTTATGGTCACATTCTCACAAAAGAGCTGCCTCGCACCTTCTCTGTACTCAGGCCTCTTCTGTACACTAAGCCTACTGAATCAGGCTCTGCCCTCAAGGAAGAAAGCCTGAAATAGCCCAGCTGGGCCTAGGTAGGTAAGTTCACATCAAGGCAAAAGAAATAAAAATCCCATTTTAGACCTGGACTCAGGCCATGTGTTCCTATGTCACTTTACCAGCAATACAGCTGACATTTAGATCCCTATTTGGCTCCCACATGTATTTTTTTATGAGTCTGAACTCAAAGGAGAAGGGATGTGACTAACTAGTACTTCCAAGCCCTAACACCAAAAGACACATGATACTTTTACCCCAAAGAACATAAATCACACAAGTCCAGAAATCGAGGCAGCAACAATGTTTCTTAAGTGGCAAAAGGAAAAGGGACACCAAAAAGGAAGCATATGTAATTCATATGCAGAAGTATAAAGTATCCTTACATAGGCACTAACTCTCATCAATGAAGAGACATTCAAGCAAAAATACCCAAGACGGGCACACTTATATGCCACCAATGTGTCCTTACATAAATGATACTGACAAGCTTACTAAGAATAAACATAGAGAACCACAACTTAAGGATTTGAAAATCCCCAATTGGTTGATAACCTGAGGCAGCTTCTGGGTAAATCTGCCCCGACTTCAAGTGCTGAGGATTGGGGCATTCTCAGTCAAGCACTTACTACAGAATTCCGCATACTCAGCTGGCAGGAGGAAAGTCTGAGGGAGGATGTGAAAAGCCTTGAATCCATGTGTATGCTGCATTCGAATGATATTTTTGTACAGTCGGTCCTTCCGGGTTAGTTCATAAGACCTAAAAATCAAAAACCGTATTTCCATTTCAGTAAATTATGACTCAGAGGTTCTCCTGTGTTATCATATTCTAAGGAGTTCATAGTTCAGTTTTAGAGTAGTTACTAAAGATAATTTTATATCCCAAATCTAGAACTGGTTTTTTTTTTTTTTTTTGTCTTTTGTCTTTTTCCGTGTCCGGCAACGGATCGCAACCCTCAGTGTTGCCCCCGTACCGGACCGCGGACCAGCAACGGGATTGCAACCCTCGGTGTTGCCCCCGCGCCTCGCTCAGCCAGTGAGCGGGAACCGGTCTGTATGTGGGATCCGAACCCTCGGGCGGGAGCGCCGCCGCGCTTCCCAAGCGGCGCACTATCCAGTGCGCCACCGGGCCGGCCCCCAAATCTAGAACTGTTAATCCAAAAGGTTTATCAATCATTTTCATTAAATGGGTTACTTTGGTCAGATTTATTCATCAAGATATATTTTATGTATGTGGGCCGGCCCGGTGGCGCACTGGATAGTGTGCTGCTTGGGAAGCGCGGCGGCGCTTCCGCCCGAGGGTTCGGATCCCACATACAGACCGGTT